CGATCCTTCAGAAATCATTCTGATATTCTGATTTGCTGCTCAAAAAACATGTTTTATTATGATGTTGAAAACAGCTGAGTAGAATTTTTTCAGGTATCTTTGATGAATGGAAAGTTCAGAAGAGCCGCATTTATCTGAAATAGAAATCTTTTGTAACATTATAAATGTCTTTATCATCACTTTTGATCAATTTAAATCATCCTTGCTACATAAAAGTGTTCATTTCTATCATTTCTTTTCCAAAAAAAATAAAAATTATACTGACTCTAAGCTTTTGAATGTTATAGTGTATAATGTTACAAAAGCTTTTTATTTCACATAAATGCTGATCTTTGGATCCTTCTATTCATCAAAGAATCCTGAAAAATGTACTCAACTGTTTTAAATATTGATGATAATAATAATAATAATAATAATAATTAAAAAAGGTTTCTTGAGCAGCAAATAAGCATATTAGAATGACTTCTGAAGGATGTGACACTGAAGACTAGAGTAATGATGCTGAAAACAGCTTTGATCACAGAAATCATTTTAAAATATTCAAATAGAAAGCAGTTATTTTAAATAGTAAAAATATTTCACAACATTACTGCTTTTGCTGTACTTTGGATCAAATAAATGCAGGCTTGGTGAACATAAGAGACTTTTTATAAAACATAAAAAATCGTACTGTTCAAAAACTGTTGACTGGTAGGTTATATAGATTTCAGAAATGTTATATTGTATATATATATATAACATTTCTGTCCCTCTCACTTCTGAAATGATGGCTACACCCTGGCTGAAGGTACCTGGGCAGTGAGCTGGATAGGCTGAGACAGAAGTGGAGGCGGAGCTTGCTCAGGTTTGGCTTGAGACCGGGCTTGTGCTGCTGCCTGATTGGCCTGCTGCTGTTGCGTCTGCTGCTGCTGATTGGCCGCTGCAGCTGCGTGGGCGGCATGCGCAGCGTTCGACTGCTGCACGGCTGCGGCCAACAGCTGCGCTTGAGCCTGCTGCAACAACAGCTGCTGCTGTGCAGGGAGGAGAGCGGCCAGCTGAGAGAGGAAGGAGAGGAGCGAGGGATGAAGAGAAAAGATGGAGAAAAGAACAGCGTCAGCAAGCAGAAAAGGCGGCGTCTGTAGCACCTTCTCTTAAGCAAGCAGGGCCTAAGAGCCACAGCCCGGTTGAGTTACAAAAAGCCATGTAGTTGCATTTAGTTAATACAAGCATAGAGCAAAAGAGAGAGAAAGCGCGAAAGAGAGCAAGCGAGAGATCCGTGTATCTGTTTACATTTATGCATTTGGTAGATGCACTTATATTTAACATTGCATTCAAGATACACATTTTTATCAATTCTTACTTCAGGGAATCAAACTCATGACCTTGGTGTTGCTAGCTATGCTCCACTGCTTGTATCCATAGAAACACCATATTTGTTTTCACTGAGATTTATTATTACATAATATAGCAAATAAAAAATACGTTTATTTCCAGAGCAAACAACTCGTTTTGCCCTAAATTGTACTATTGGTTAAATAAAAGTGCCACAAAGCCAGTGTTTATGCTTTATGTTGGAAGTAAACTACACTGAAATAATTACGAAGAATTGGCAAGCAACACTTAATTAAACAATCTGAAGTATAAAGACTGAAATTGTTTTTTGTTTTCTATAATAGTACTTTTATTAACTTAAAAAAATATTTTTTACAGTGTATGAATGGCTTGTTTACAGTTGTCTATGCATATTGCAACGGAAAAAATGAAAGTATTTTAATAAAAAAAACTGTCATGTATAAAATGTGTCATTTGCATAATAAAAATATATAATTAAAATGTTTAATTTTGTAAAAATGTCACATTAACAATCAAGATAGAACATTTTAATCTGATCATTTTTAAAACTCATTAAATGTATCATTTATTATATTTATTTTAAAAATAAACACTTAACATCTCATTGGTGCTTAATAAAAAAAGCACTTAATTTAGGCCATTTGGCAAACCTAAACCCAGGTTTTGTTCCCCCTCAAAAATGTAAAATATTTTGTTTTTAAAATCTTCACTAGAGTAGCTGTTTGTCTCATTGTGTGTGTGTGTGTGTGTGTGCGCACATACCCCTGCGAGCTGACTGCCGGCTAGCATGAGCTGTGTGTGTGGCAGAGCCGGCTGAGCTGGAGGAGCGTGAACACTGGTCATCTCAGCGGCCTCCTCGGCTTTAACCTATCAAACACATTCACATACATCAATCTGTGTATATATGTTAGTCAAAGACAAAAAGGAGTTTTCAAGCATCAAAGCAATAAAAGTTTAATACAGCTTAAATTTTTTCCCACTACATTATGTGTCCTATTTAACTGTACGTTTTTCTAAAGCAAAAATTAATGACTATCATACCATGATTTACAGAAGACACTCACTAAAACGTCATTCAGTGTAACAACAGTTCATATACCAAAAATATTGTCAGGCACATTTATAACAAGAATCATTAGATGAGATTAAAGGACTCTATTTGAGAATCACAGTGCAGCTCCCAAAACTAATTAATTGTCAGTGTAAATCTTTACCAGTTTTTTTACACTATCCTTCAAACCACTAGGTTATACCCATTTGTCAGCAAGTTTGTAATCATTTAAAATATAATAAAATTTTGTATGATCACTTCTTCCTTTATAAGTTTTAATAAGTGGTCAGAATAAGTATGACGATGAACCATTATTTCACCCATTTTATTTTCACAAGCGTTATTTGAAACATTAAAAGAGACAATTTACTTGCATTTAATATGCTTTCTATGTACATAAAATCACTTTTGTAAATTTAATTTGATGAAGTCACCAAAATGGGATGTCTTATCTTTGAGCTATGTGTAATAAACACTCACATAAACACTAATAATTTAATACACTAATGTTCTTCACACACACACACACAAACAGCAACAATATAAAACACGAAAATGCATTATGCAATATTAAACAAATAGAAACAGAAATGAATTAATTTACTTTAAATATGAAGACTAAAATAGCATTATTCATTTTTATTCCCTTAATCTGTATCAAATGAACAATGAATCATTTGTTACTGGTACAGCTAGTTTGCAACTTCTATGCAAATTGCCATTACTAAATGTCAACGACCGATTACGCCAACTACCACTTCATGTCTTTTCTTGACAAAGACAAAAACCACACACAAAGTCCACTTCCATATGTAAACACGCACACTTCCACTTATTCATTTGATTACTCACCGATTCAAGAGAAGAGCAGCAGTTCAACTTGTATAGTTATGTAAATATCAATCCAGAATCTCTCTGCTAACTACATCTGTCCTGCTCCGGTCGATCCGTCTCTTTTTACTTCACTTTATTAACTCCCTCCCTCCCTCTCTCTCTCTCTCTCTCTCTCTCTCCCCCATGTATCTTGTCTGGCATCTTGTTAGGAATGCAGCTCAAAATGACTCTCATTTGCATATTACAATGTTAATGGAGAATTACCTGAGGGCTTCCAAGTGAGCAAAAACAGACGTAACTAAATGGGCATTAACACACACACACACACACACACACACACACACACACACACACACACCTTTGTGTTGCTGGGTGCGGGTGACAGGCAGAAAGGACTTGTTTTCATTGGCTGGGTCTGAATGAGACAGGAAAAATTTAACATATCACAATGTTAAGCTTAAAAAGTAACTGTATGTTGAATTAAAGGTCTGGTTCTCAGTCAAATACACTCTTAAAAATAGAAGAACCATTATAGGTTCTTAAAGAACCTTTCAGTGAACAGTTCTTAAAATAACCATTTTTTCTTAGTGCAAAAGAAACATTTCAATAATCTAAAGAACCATTTCCACTATAAAGAACCTTTTGTGGAATGTAAAGATTCCAAGGATGTTAAAGATTCTACATGGAACCATCAACACTAAAAATAAAGGTTCCAAAAGCATGTTTTTTTGCAGTGAAGCCATAGAAGAACCATTTTTAGTTTCTCAAAGAATATTTCAGTGATCAGTTCTTATCATATTAATGATCTAAACAACCTTTTCCCACTTGAAAGAACCTTTTGTGCAATGAAGAGGTTCCATGGATTTTTAAGGTTCTTCATGGAACCACAGATGCAAATAAAACCGGTATTTTTAAGAGTGTAACAGTATTAATACACCCTGTTCAACATTCATTCAGTGGAGACTTGCAAACAACTGTGAACTTTTTAATCATCACACTTTTCACTGCATCTGTCCAAACTTCAAACTTCTCAAGTGGGAAAATGAACATGTTAGCCACGGGACTGTCCCTGCATTCACCTGGGATGACATTTGCAAATGACGAATGCTGCATGTAATTAAAAGAAAGGTTTGATCTGTTGGTTAATATAACATAAATGGTTTTTAGCATCTTTTGCCAGATATGCTAAATATCTCTATTTTGTTTTTCCTCAAAATCAAATCTTTGACAGCCCTGATGTAGATGGTCAAGGTTTTGGAGAACCTCTCTTGAACATCTTTTTTTTTTCTTTTTTATTAAAACACATTCACTGACATCAAACAACTAATAAAACATATGCACTAAAATATGTTCACACACCTGATCGCTGGCCTCTGGACTGTTCCTCTCAGAGTCTGTAGAAACACACACACACACACACACACACACACACACACACACACACACACAAAGGACACATCAGGTCAGAATAGTGCCTCAGGCTCCAGCCCTCACATCAACAAAAGCATGGTCTGGTTTGCCAGAGGCACTGCATTATTGGAATACCATGAAGTGTTTAACCTGGGTTACTTTATGCTGCTGCTGTGTGTGTGTGTGTGTGTGTGTGTGTGTGTGTGTCAGATTGAGGCCATGGCTGACTAAAGTGTTCTGTGTGTGATTCAGACCAAGTGGAAAATGTGAGAACCATGCCAAAACAAAATCTCATCACGCTTACACACACACACACTCACAAACACATCTAGGAATATTCATGAATCATAGTAGTATACATGATAAAACATGCTTACACACGCAGTGTTTCTCTCCAACAATAGCATCACACCTACACACAAACCTCTCCATCTTCATGATACTAATATCAATAATTATAGTGATTTTATAGATAATACACATAACATACATTTCTACTACATCTTAAAGCATTCAGGCTCACACAGACCTTCAATAATCAATCGTAATATTGATTTTTACCTGTACTGTCCACTGGAAGCTCAATCCCCATCTTGTCATCCTCGACGGCTTTAGACATCCTGATATCTACTGAAACAGAGAGAGAGAGAAACTGACTGAAAACACTTCTTGCTTTAGCTTTTTTTGTCAATCGTCCTTATATCATCAACCACATAAAAGGGTAGTTGACAAATAACCTGTTTTCATCATGAAGAGTCATGGTTTAAAACATTTAAATGTATATTGTAGGTGCTGAAACTGGTCAGCTTTTCTTTTCATCCCACTACTGACATTTTATGACACATTTTCAGTAAAAGAACTGATAAGATTTATCGTTTTTGGTACTTTAATTAGGTTTGTGGATGAATTTGTATGTGTTTTTATTTTATATCAATTTCAAAATAATAAACAAATCTGACTATTTGTAACTATGACTTTACTAAAGTAACACTTTCAGAAAAAAACATGAATTTATGCACTTTGATTTGAGGATCCTACGATGTTAGAAGAGTTCAGATTTAACCAATTTTAGCTTTTTTAGCAGTTCACTAAAGTAGTCTGCCGTTTTAACTGAAAGTACAAATATTGTCACCTCATCTTTAAAATAAAATAAAAAATCTTTAAAATAATTTAATATTAAGCATAGCTTGTCAAATATATTACTTTACATTCCAAAACCCGACAGAATTTTTAATTTAACTTTATTTAAACAACATAGCATTATTTTATTATAACATTCTAAAAGAACATTATTTAAATATATTAATATAATAAACATAAAATATACTTAAAATCATAATATTAATAACAACTAACATTGTTAGTTGTCCTAATTAATAACAAATAACAACATCCAAAATGTGAATAATACTTAAACCGAAACCTCTAATTAATGAAACAAACACCTTTGCGTCAAAAGTCAATTTCCATCAGCAAAACTATTCAGTGAGCAGCTCAACTGCTCGATCTGTCTTTCCTTTGTCCTTTCCTTTTCTATTTCATTCTGTTTTGGTCCTGTTTGACACTCTCTTCATCCTAATACAGCACCTGCGCCTCCCAGAGAGCAGCGGGGATGGAGGGGCATGTCCCATCCTGCACGCCATCATTCATACAGATCCACACTCACGTACACACACACACAAACACACCCGCAATAGCTGTTAATGCGGACAGGAGACGATCTCATCCCATGAGAGCACGTGTTGCACTTCGCAGGAGAATAACAGCTTTTCTCTTTCTTACTCACGATGAAATTGATGGCCACCTCAGACCATCTACACAGCCATTTCCAAGAACAAATTGATTTCCCTGTCCAGTTTACTCAATGTTAAATTAGTTCATATTACATGGCTGGAACGTGTACGCTGCACATCAAATTTATTATAAAGATTATTTGTATGGAAGTAATCATGTCAATTACTAAAAAGGAAGGAAAGAGAAATTCAAATAACAAACTTTTAGAAAACATGCATCAGCAGCAAGATGATTAGAAACATATGATTAGAAAAGTTAACAGGCATTCATGTAAACAAATGAACAGTTATTGCACAAACATTGATCAATGCAACTAAAAATGTAGAATCAAATGCACTGAAAATTATTTGGTGGGGAACCCAATTTTTCTCCGAAATCGCTAGTAAATTTGACAGATAATTATAAAGAAAGGCAAAGTAACATTGAATTAAATACGACATTTTGAAGTAAAAAAGAACTGAAATGGTATTTTCAAACAAACTCCAGTGATTTTTGTTTTATTTACAGCTTTGAAAAATATTTTTTTTTACTGTGTGGTTTTGCTGAACTGCATATACAAAACTGAAATTAATTGTCAAAAAATAAAAAAATAAAATAATTTAAAAAAAAATCAGCAACTTACTGTAAGTCTTAAGTAACTACTAAAAACAATGTTTTGAAGTTGCAACGATTATTGGAGGATGTTTTACAAGAAAATACTTAAATACAAAAAAAAAAATGTTCTTATAGTATTTTTTTTCAGCATATTAAACATTTCAATTAGATGTTTAGACATTTAGACAACAAATCTCAGTATTTAAAGCATTTCATTTCATTTCAAAACAACGTGTGATTGGACAAAGCCATTCTCAAGCCTTTCAACTAGACTTCCCTACAAACACTGACCGATTCAAAATAATCACCTGATATTCAAGTAATATTAGAATAAGTTGCATTTCAGTGAAGAGTGCCATGTTATTGAAGGTCGGTGTGTTTGTGACTCACCGGAATGTTTTTTGCTCAGCTCTCTCTGTCCTCCGATCACTCGATGAGAACAGCTCCTTCACTCTATATGCCACTACGCCGGCCGTGGGCGCTTTTTTATTTATTTTTTTGGTGGTTCACAAATTTCACTTGCTTTAGTCATAGAAAGCAAAGTCAAATTAAAGCCACTTTCCAACTGAGGCAAACGAAACCTCCATCCTCCGCCGCCCACCTCATTCGAGTGCGTTACTAAATTAGGATGAATTACTCACTGATATTGATAGTCAAATGAGTGGAAATGATCATCTGCTTCCAGACAATCACACCGGTGAGTTGAACTCGAGATTGCGATCGTAAGCACAGTGTAAATCACAGTCAATGTACCACCGAGTTGTTTTGTCATGATGCAAAGCCATGAAAGGCTAGAGCTGAATATGACGCGCCGGTTGCATAAAAATGTCTGGCACTTCCTTCATCTGAGACTCGAGAGCCTTCTGACTCGAGAAACCTTCATAGCAAAAGTGCGGTTGATAATGATCATTGATGTGATAAAACAAACAGTAAAAACAAATACAGAGACACTTGAATGACGCTCAGTTTAGATGTAGAATAAGGAAAACGCAAAACTGCACTCTAAGAAAATATGCAAAAATAGGCCCCAGTGTACTGTATAAACATAATGGAATTTTCCATATTGATTTTTCATGGGCGTTTTTACCATAATTTCAATTACACAATGCAGTGTGTTTCAGAAAATGTCCTTAAAATTAACGTGTAATGTCCTGACAGAAAATTACTAGTACCTTTTGCTATTTTTCTGCTGATTTTTGAACTTCATAACCTTAAAACACTGGTTGCATTACAGTATATTTGATGATCATAAAATGTATCTTCACATTTTAAGTCCATATCAGCCAGCTTATTGTATTATAGTCTTATTATACAATATATGACTATACTGAATATATCATCATATCAATATTAATTAATATTTAAAATACATATTTAAAACATATTACTAAACCGGTTTGATGGTTAAAATAAATTTTTTTACATTTAATTTTCAGAATTTAATTTTATGTGACACATAAAGAGAAATATTTTCCTTTCAAATATTTATCAATAAAAAAAAAAAAGTCAGTTTACATAATATTTGTTTTTAGCTGTATAGAATGAAAGGCGTTTTACATTATAGCTATATGGTCATTGAAAGCCTGTGGTATATTTTAGTAATGACTGAACTTTTTATTCAAAGGACACAACAAACATGACTAATTAACCATAAACCTCACAAAGCCCAAGTGGAAATATCATTCTGATGACACTGTTATGAAATACAAAATTGTGTGAAAAAGGTGAATGTTGATTCACGTGCATTCGACTCGGTGTATTACTGTGTATTACTCTGTCAGTATTACCCACAACCCTCTGTGCTCTATGAGTCAGTGTAGTGTCACCCCCATTTCCTGTTTAACTGTGTGGCCTTCCACTCATTCTCAACACACACACACACACACACACACACACACACACACACTGAACGACAGAGTGAGAGATATTCTTGGAAAAATTAAATCAATCAGCATCAGTCACATCTTCTTAAAGATGACCAAGGGAAACAAATATACAAATCATGATCTTAAAATGAAAATTCTTATCATATTTAAATAATAGTGTATTTTTAAAATGCACCTATTAATTCATTGATAATACTGTATATATGTATATGTGTGTGATTGTAATGATAATTTGATTATGAATATGAAATGACCTTATTTAATTAAATTAAATTGGATTCCATTTAGATTTCGATTATAGCTTTAGGCAAGTTATTTGAAGCTCTAATTAAATTTTTTATTTTAATCATTTAAGAAGCATGTGACTTGCATGCGATTTCATTTTGGAAGGGTTGTTACTGTAAAAGAATGAATCTTTTTTTTTTTTAGTTAATAATTATAAAAATTATAATAAGTATTATTAACGATAATAAGATGTATTTTGTCTATGGTTATGTAGGTGTATTGTTGTGGAAAAACAATATTCGGATAAATAAAAAAATAAAAAAATCAGCCTAAGGTTGTGATTCAAATCAAGTTAAAAGCCTCAAAAGCATGTTAATGATTTTCTTTACATGGAGTAAAGCGCTAGAGCAAATGCAGACACAGCAAGAAACAGCAAAACTGTCCTGAATACACAGAAGTCAATCCTTGTGTGAACATCTTAAAAAACAAAGTACAGTAAAAACAGTAGAGACGCACGCTCACATTTCCTAGAAACACATTCAAATCTAAAAGCTCATCTTTTCTAACAATATCTGGGTTCTCCATCTTTAGCTGCTTATTTTAACTGACATATTTGTGCTATTAGGCTGTGGTTTATTTATTTGTAATTTGGCTTTTTTTGGTTATAGCGTGACCTTAAGTATAGAAAAGCTGCGATATAAATAAAACACATACTCCACTGATTTTTTTTTATACTTATTGCCTCATCTCTCTAATATTCTCATATATTAAAAAAGTAATGGGAGCCTGTACACATTGTTTGCTTACATTAGGCCTCTACATACACCAACATACATTACACCTCATATACATACATACACACACACACACACACACACACAGAGATATTCAAGTCTCTTGCTTTCCTCCAGAGAGTTGCTCCTGACATTTCATTACTTTTGGCCTCAGTTCAGTTAGTTTTGATGTCCTCTCATTAGCAGAGTCTGTTAGCGAAGGCGAAGCTAATTAACCTAGCGGCCCCCTCTCGAGAGATCATTAGAGGGAAGGAAAAGCGAGAGAGAAAGACACTGACTTACCTGGAATTCAGACATTTCGCCATAGCCGCCATTTTATAAATAAACCACAGCCTCTCTCAGGTTTATCAGTGTGCAAGACTTCAGTCCAGCTCACAGCGCCCTAACGAGCTGACCAATCACTGCTCTCGATGACCAATTCATGCAAATTGCAGAGTGAATATTCATGCCATTATTTGAATATCAGAATCCATACCTAACCCACACTCAAACTTCTAGCTTGAAAGGTGTTCGGCCGTCCTTGTTCAACTACATTTAATTGTCACATGAAAGAATGAATGAGATATGGGCTCATACAGTCACTCTCTCCTCACTTCCCTCCCACATTTTCTCTCCACCCCCAAACACCGCCGTATTTCACCCCTACACTTCCTCTGACATCTTTGAACAGGGGTACAAGTGAACGCTCACACAAAAAAGGAAAAAGTTATTCTCTAAAGACATATATCAGGTAAAATAGGTGGTTATTCTATGTTGTTTTGTTGTGGGCACTTATCAAGGCTGGTTTGAAGTGGTGTAGCTCAATGTTGAGAAAGAAGGAGGCAGAAGGAGAGAAAGAGAAAGAGCAAGACAGCTCAAGTCAGCAAAAGAAAGTGCTGGGGTGGCTGGAAAGTGCTCATCACAAGAACGAAAAACAAGTATATCTCATTTTCGCTCTTCACACGCCTCTAATTTCCATTGCTTGTTCTCAATGCGCTAAAATTACCACTTCTGCCCAGCGAAAATGAAACTGAAGTAGCGCAAGTGAACCGCAAGAGGGCAGCAGTGCCTTTAATAATCACGCATGAAGCCTTTACAGCTCGAACGAGCGATTTCTGGTGATTTTTCCACTTCAGTTTTTTTGTCGTGTTTATTTTACATGTTTTGATTAATAAAGCTGCTTTTTAAATGTAAATTGGATTTAGCTTAAAAGGGAGACCAATTTAAAACCTGCACGAGAGTCTTTGACGGATCGAACGGACGTTTCCCTGATATTTCCAACTTTCAACTCCTCCTCATCCTGGTAATTTACTCTTTACTTGTGCTTAATTTCAAGGTATATAGGTTCTACTTATAAATGATGTGAATTATAAGAAAGTCAGACTAAATCACTCGCCGCACGTGCGAATATAATAAGTCGTTTCTGCTTCCAACTTCTTCCCTTCGTTTTTAATTTTACGTTTCTTTTTCTACGTCTAGTTGAGTTTTATATTTGGAAAGCTGATTTTGTTCCAAATAAATTGTGTTGATGTCGAGTTCTGGGACTTAAAACAGATCACGATTTATACAATTATGTAATTAAGAGTTTTAACCATGACGCCATTTAAACGTTAGCAGACATTATTCGGGAGGACGATATATCCATAAATATCAATTTAATAAGCTGTGCGTTTCAGTCCGTGTTATAAGCCTATATCACATGTAATTTTCAAAACACTTTTTTTTCTCCAGAGGGGTTTTTTTTTTCCATCGGGAAATATTAGAGTATAATAATAAGACTCAGCCTATTTTCAATGTAGAATCAGGTAAATAATTAAACAGACTGCATGTCTACTCTTCACAACCTTGTTTTCAGTCGCAAAATTTGCTGAATTGTCCATGGCAAAACATTGTAAGTAGTAAGTATATGCCATAATTTCTAGCCTGATATTATTGCCAAGGTTTCTGATCCAAAATATAGCTTGTAAATAAAACAAATACTACTAACAACACTACAGATTTTAGCCGTAAAGTGAGATGATGTTTGAAACCTTGTGTTTTGTGTGCCACACTAATGATTTAACCGTGCATTATCCGAGCTATTCAACCATCAATCACCTACTTGCATTGGTTTTGAAAATACATAAACACTTTCAAACTTTTTCACAAAAACCGCACATGGACCCTTCACACACATTGATTCACCCACAGGACAGTTGATGCGTCCTCTGGTTTAAGCCTTTTACCCCAGTGCTCATAATGGATCTGTCTTCTGAATATATGTGTGTGATGCTCAGGGTCACGGTCAGGGGTTTAGCAAGTTTTTGGGCCTCCTTTTATGTGCCCCCCAAGCTCCTCAGTAAGGCCTGTCAGGGCTGTGACAGATGGCGCGTGGGTGTGTGTGTGCTTGCGATGGACTGATGCTGGGTGGCGTGTGTTAGGGTCAAGGGTCAGTCCGCTGCGCACCCTCCCTCATCCCCCCTCCCCCTGGTCTTGACCTTTGGGGAGGCCAGTGAGGGGGTACGTCTGCCTCAGAGGAACAGGAGGCGGGGTCTCTCGCAGGGACGGCTCTATAAATAACGGTGGCCCGCTGATCACAGATTAGTTGCACTGCCCCCAATTAGTTTTGATGTAATTAGGTGCCAAAAGATGGGTATGCAAACACATGTACATATATGTTTACTTCAGTCTACTTTTAATGTAAAAGCTGATATTCAAGAGTCATATGCCACAATTTCTGATAATATTGCCAAGATTTCGGATCCAAAAATAGCATGTACTGTAATACTACAAATACTACATGTAATATTACCAAAAATGTTAGCAGTCAATTGGGAAAACATTTTAAACATTTGGTTTCCAAATATCCAAGCTATACAACCATGAATCTCAATCTCAAACTCATTTTTTTTTTTTAACTACTTTAACCTTTAAATTTACTTTTGTTCGTGTTACCCAATCTATTTAGGTTTAAATAATATTTTATTCATTAATATTATGACCCCATAAATAATATTTTGTCTTTAATAAAAACAATTAAATTAGATGTTACCACTTTAAGCCCATTTTGTTGGTTAACATTTTTCAGGCTAAACAAACAAAACATGTATTAAATGAACCAAAACATGAAAATGAACTTACAATAGATGTCTACAAAAATGCCCAACACATTACGATTATTTTTTCCGAACATGCCAGTCGCTGTCCACAGTGCTTTAAGCATATTCCTTTAACCCAAACCAATGCAACATTAAGAACAAACAGGTTTAGAGATGCAGTGCAAACACACACACATCTTCTCATACTTCAAGCACAGCAGTGACTCCCCCTCGACTCAAGGAGAGATGCAGAGGCAGCTTAGGGTGTTAAATCTTATTGGCTGTTGACCTGATTTAAAGACAATGGAGCAGAACAATGGAGGGTACAGGTATAAAAGTAGCCCTTTCTCGCACTTTCTCCCTGTCCGTAACTGAAATATACTAATAAAGTTGCATCATGTGCTGCCCAGGTATGCATTCAAGATTCACTTCAGCCATGGTAGGTTTTAATAATACATTTAGTTGAATCATATATATACATATATATATATACACAAAATAACACTTGTGGTGTTTTCCCAAAAATATACATAATATATACAAAATAATACAAATATTTTTTAATCTTTATTTCTATTTATATATTATATGTAAAAAAAAAAATCTTAATGCTACAACAAAACTTTATGGTAACTCAGGCCGCTGTTGCCCAGTATATTTCCCCCTCTCACTCTGTACAGCATGCAGCAGTGCTGGTCAGCTGCGGTCATGACATCACTGGACAGCACAGCTCTCCAATAGGACACCTAGATACGTTGCCAGGCAACAGGAGTGAAAGACCTGCATGTGTGTTTGTGTATATGTGTGTGTGAGCATGTATGTGATAATCAAACTAAAAACCTGAAATGTTCTGGCTTCAAGTAATAAGTTGGTTTGTTCTTGTTCATACAAACAAATTTCCTATCTAACATGTCGCATTTAAATATTAATACACACTTCAAACAGGAATGTATCACAAATTCAGACCACCACAGTGTAAATTAAATAGACCATCCAGTGGACTTTAACACCATGCATTTTAGTGGTATTTTTAAGGTCAAAATGTTTCTCTGTTTTTATAAAAACACATCTATAAATGCAATTTTAAGAAGCCTTTCAGCTCATATGAATCATCTGTATTAGTGTATTGTGTGTGTTTTCGGATAGCATCTCGGGAGTATTTTCTCGGCCTCTAGCTGTGTGCATGCGTTTCGAGTTCATAGCCACACGCGTTTCTAAGAGTGGATTTACGTAAATATATTTGTGCTCGAGTGTGCGTAAGCCTCTCTGGCGGTGGGTATTTTGTATTTTGTGTGTGTGCGTGAGCATCTCTGGGTTGGTATTTTGTATTATTGTGTGTGTGCGCCTCTGCGCCTGCCGTCTCAGGAGTGTATATTATATCCGATACAGTACCTCTTTCGCGCACCACATATTTCTGGGCCGATCGATACCTCTGACTCCCTACAAGACAATAATCGCTCCTCTCACCCCCCTCCCCTGTATGGCTACCATTATTACCACCCTCCCCGGGGGAACGTGCAAAACAGGGAGGGAGGCTGATGCTTCCACCCTTCCTCCATCCCTCTGTCTGTCCACCCCGACTCTCTGTCCTTCTATTATTTCACCCCGACAGGAGGTGTCAGTGATGGAGTTATGGAGTGGACGACAGGCAAAATAAAGTGGCAGGAACCATATTAAGATATGAGTAAATGCAGGACGGGTAGAGAGACAAAGAGAGGAGAAGAAAAGTGAGTGCAGGTGCATTGTGATCGTACAATAAAAGGAGGGAATGACAGGAGAAGATTTACACAGCTGTCTTCCTAATAAAGGATAAGAGGGAAGGCTCAGACGTGGATAGAGGCAGCGTATAATTATGCCCAAAATTTATAGAAATCCAAATCGTACGCCAAGTTCAATAAGCACTGAGCCATTCTGAATGAATCCCATCTGGGGGACGGTGTCCGTCCGTGACAGAATCTACTAAGCAACTAAACAGCATGATGTATGTGTTATGGGGGACGGCAGATTGTTCGGTGTATAGGTTTATCGATTGCACTGGACTTAAATTGGCTCTCAATTAAAGAGAACACTTATTTGACCTCTTCTTTGCCGCCTGCGCCGCACGTCTTTCTTGCTTTTCTTTTCTCACCTGCACATCCATCTCTCTCTTACATGCTAAGGCTACGACCTCAAACCTGTTCTGGCCTGCTCGTCCAACCCGGAGGCCGGTCCCTCCGCATGCCTCTTTCATTTCGGCTGGATCCTGCAGAATCTTTCACCCGCCATAAATTCGGTTAAAACTGCGGAAATGAATTATTAAGCATATTTATTCAAACACTATTAATAATATAAGCAGACACAACACCTTGAGTCGAAGGAGACGGTGATAAGGGAGCGAAAAGGTGCTGTGCATAGTGGTAGTAGTAGTAGTTGGAGGGCTAAAAAAGGTGGAGGGAGAGGAGAAGGGAGGGTTAGGAAATTGGTCTGGCTAGCGGAACAGCTTTTCACCCCTCTATCCCCCCTCCACCTCCACCCTCCCCTTCTCTCCCCCATTCTGCTTTGTATTCTGTGGAGATGCCAGGGAGAAAGCTTTATTGCTCCGAGTTGGTATCGATCGGGGCCCCTCTCGGAGGGCGCTCAGACCCGCGCATATTGGAGGCACTTTTGCAATGCCTCCAACCTCCCCCCTTGTCTCTCATTTCTACTTCTTCATATTTCTTTCTTGTTCTGCTTTGCTTTCTCTCACGCATTCTTTTTTGTGTCATTTATGCGGCCTGGGGATTCAAAAATCACAGTTTCGAGATGCTTCGGGTTGTATTTGCCAGAGCGCTTCTTGCACGAGTGCGGCGGGGAGTCGAATCAACAGTGGGCCTCACAATTCAAACATGGATGAATACACACAAACTTACAGATCTCTTACTCCCTCATCCTCAGCCTAATTTCTCCATTCCCGTCTCGCTTTTATCGCCTCACACACTTGGCCAAGTGCTGTTTTTAATGTGGGCTCAACAAATGTCGGCGTTCCTGTGAAAAAGTGACAAGAGGGAGAGAAATCTGCAGGCAGATACATGCTGCTCTCGAAGGATCGAAGGCTGCTTTGTAAGGTAGGTGTGTTGTCGTTGGGTAGCGCCGCAGCGATGCTAACAGCACCTCAGCGTCGGGAAACATTAGGATGGCTGTGTGGAAATACAATGACTGACAATTCCCCTGAAGAATGGAGGGAAAGGAGAAATAGAGGGATAGTTGG